CCCTACAATATTACCCAGACCTAAATCCTTATACTAATTTATAATTTTAAAGCCTATACATATAATCTAACATTTGTTAGGCTGCTTGTAGGATAACAAGCCCTTTAAAGCATGCGTTTCTTCATCAGTTTATACAGTGGTGAGAAGACATATCTACTGGGTGTGCAGACAAACCTTCTTCATGAATTGACTAAATCTTAAGAATTTAGGCATGATATCACAAACCAGTACACCATTTCAAAACATTATGTAATTCATCCTATTTATTATATTACCTTAAGGTAGAACAATAATGCTAAATGTTTCTAAAATTAAAAAAAAAAAAAAAGAAAAAAAAACCACCACTGTTTTTAAAAGTTCACTATTTTAATTTTTTCAAAAAGTCTTCCAATGAATGGATTCTTTTAAACACTGAAAAGCTGCTTCTGTGGAATTCCTGTCATGCCTACACTTGGTGTAACTACCACTCTGTGTTTTCATTAATTTCTCAGAAACCAGCACTCTCTATGACCATTGAAAGCAACATCAAGTTGTCATTAGGTGCAAGAGTTCAAAAACATTTTCTGTGGCAGAGATTTTACTCTATTATTATATAACACTTTAAAGAATTCATTGGGAAATATAATCCTTGCTTTACTTCAGAGAAATGAGCAGCAGTAACTGTAGAATATAAAGAAATACCTACTCTTGATAACACACTTCAAAAATACGTAGCAAAGAAAGATAGGTCCAATTGCAGTTTGATTACCTCCTTTATGCATGCTGGATGTTTCTAAAGGTAAGGCTATTTGTTATCTTCTCTGTCACTGGCTGCTTGGCTGGATGCCTCTGCTAATCCATCTCCAAAACACGTGTAATCTTTGTTGCAATGGGGGCAAAAAAATACAACTGCTTTGTTCAAATGAGGCTGAGCACATGGTGCATTTTATGGTCTTCCATTCACTGCTTTCAGCCATCTGTTCAGTCTTATATAGGCTCTACCCAAATCAAATAAAAGTGTAGACACTGGCAGGAATGTGTCCACTGTTTGAAGAAATGGAATAAAACCTGAGAGTTGAGGGGGCTGGGGGAATATAAAAGCCTTGTATTCTAACTATGGCTGTCTACCGCACTGATGAGGAAGCAGACTGGCGTAACACAGCATACTGGTTTGGACAGCAGGTCTGCAAAACCAAAACTACATAGTCAAAAATGATAGTTCAGCTTGTCTGGCTACAGAATGCTGGTTGCATTCAGAGGTGGAAAAAAAAACCCACCTTTTTTTCCACCAGACACTACCAAACTATAATAGACTTTTTCTTCAAAGCAAATGGTATACAACAAATTTTTAGAGTATTTCAAAATAATTCCTTAGATGTGGGAAGTTGTTGGTCTGGAGTGTCAAATAAGAATTAATTTTTGCTTCTAATTGGCACCACGTCAGGCCATACTTCAGCAGTACTTTTCTCAAAAAAGAAGCTGCGCAAAAAGGCTCAGAGGGAGTTAAAATGCGCTAAAGAAGATGTGTTTTTTCTAAACATTTTCAGGCAAGAAGGCTAGGGCCCAGTTCCTTCTTTCTCAGTGGAGAACTGAGAAGAGGCAATAGCTGAAAGCGTTAGGGTGATTAGCTAGGGAACTACTAACTACCCTTAACTCTCGTTAAACCATTGAAATTAAGATGCCCAACTTCATTTAAAAAAAAGAAAAAAAAAAAAAAAAAAAAAGTTGTTCGTGCATTCCAGGTGGCTAGCACGAGTGAGGCACTGAAAACTACCTTTGACTGCTGACACTGGTTCACTCCCGCAGGACAGGGATCGGAGTGCCTACACTTGGGGTCATTCCTCACCAAGCACCTACTCCCCACGCTGAAGCAGCTGCTGTCCTGCCCAGCTGTGAAAGTCAACACCCCTCATCTCAGGCAATTTGGGTGCTCCAGTCTATGGAGACTACAGGGGTGATGGCATTTTAGATATCAAGAGAGACAATTGTGCTAAAAGAAGGATCCACATTTCAAGAAAATGGGAAACGTTGGCTTAAGCTGAGAGCATAAAACCTGTATTTCTGCAGAAAACAAGGACCAAATTTTCAGTAGGCCTTCTGCAAAATCTCTTCTACTCCAATACCTCTGATGCACCTCAGAGATACTCAAAGATCATTTGAATATCCTTAAGCCCTTTGGTTCCTCCCTATCCTCTCACTTCCCAGATCTAGGACTTTTCTTTCAAATGACAGATGGTTTATTAGAAAACAATAGCACAAAATCCTTACATGCAGGCAAAAACTACTTAAGAGAATGTTCTTTTCTGATATAGTGATTTTATAGTGAGAGATAGCTTCTAATCTCACTCGATAGCCTACATTCTGCAATTTACATGAAATGTGATTAATACCCTATTTCCATATTTAAGTCTCTGACAATAGTAGTACTCTTTTTTTTTAAACGTAATATTATAAAGCTATTACAATCTTTGATTCTCCAAAATGTAACATGAAAAAAAATTGTGATAACTAGCACAAAGAAGAGATAAGCTTAATGATAGGTTGAGATATTTTTGCCCTCTTGAAGATACTCTGAAAATATAAAAGAAGACTA